TGAGGCTGAGTGAGACCCTGACTCCAAACAAAAGACAAACAAACAAACAACTACTCATGTCTCCAGACTGAAAGCCTAGCCTGGAGCTTTTCTTCTCGCCCCTCTGGTGTTGAGTCTAGCGGAGTAAGGACTCTCCTCCCACGTCAGCACTCTTCCATCAATCCCAGAATTATGTCAGTGCCTATCTGGGCATTGTTTCCCAGTTTGCTTGTGGACACTGAAACTCAGTGGCAGATTTGTGTAAGTTCTTTCTGGCTTTTCCCAGAAGGTGGCGCCAGCCTTTTCCTTAGCTGCTACATGATTGAGACACTAATCTCGGGATACTCTGCTGGGAAGAGTTCTTTGATTCCAGTTGTGGATAGGTGTTGGCTTTTTTTTTTTTTTTTAACGCAGCCGGTTATTCTAATGCGTCTGTGACAGAGCCAGTTCAAACTTTCTGAACTTAAAACATGCCATCCAATTTTTGAGAACTTCCGCACTCTTAAAGAAAGAAACCTTATCTTTAAGGAAACATTCATCAGTATTCTGAGTAATCTTATTTTTTTTAAAGCTAGATGTAAGCATCATGCTTTTCCTAACTAGACATGATTATTTCACTAGCTGTGAGATGGAAAGAATTCCTATGTTTCTGAGAAGACCGTAGCAAAATTTGGAACACTTTTGATCACTTCAAGGCAGATTATAGCCCAGAAGTCTCCTTGATTCTGCCCTCTTTGAATACCCCTCCACCCCCTTTGAAATCCTTGCTACTTTGGCCACCTTGTCTACTACGTGGCATTGTCTTCCTTGATTTCTGTTGCCCATGTTTGCTTTTGCTCTCTGTTTGCTTACACTTATAATCTTGCTTCTTATGTTACATAGAACACAGGGGCAAACCTAAAGTTCACCCTGATTCAGGCAACTTGCCAAAGCCAGGGGTTTGGCATCTAGAGGGAAATCGAGAACACTTACCTGCCTTGCCAAAACCCGTGTCGGTACTGGGAAACTTACTCTAACCCCAGTGATAGAGAGGACCTCAAACTACCCACCTTAATGTGGAACTTCTGACATTTTATTTCAAACATTTCAGAACCAGCTGCCCCTCCCTGCCTTGACAGGTATATTTGATTGTTCCCTGCCTACCACATCTAGAATTCCTGAGTTTTTTTTATAAGAGGAAGGTCTCCTTAGGGTTGGTTTCAGCTCAGCAGATCTGAAACAGCCTGTTTTCCCAGCAACTCACTGTAGGGTGATCACCTGAACCTGAGTGGTCAGTTGAGCACGGGAGACAGGGAGGAGAGAAGGACAACCCCATGACTGAGTTTTTACCACGAACCGGGCAGTTGCTGTCTTGTCTCATTAATTCTCACTGCATCCCCGGGGGCTAAGAGGCTTTAGCTTGCGCCTGTCGCTGGCACTGCTGGGACGTGTCTTCACTCGCTGAGCTGCTTCATACCTCCCGGTGATACGAAGGTAATCAATTTTAGACACCTTAAACATTGATTCCCGTACACCAGTGTTTTCTAACTTTGATATGCCTGTGAAATCATCCAGTGTTTTCTGACCCTTATTTTTTCTCACAAGTTTTAAAACTAAGCCCAGAATTCCCCAGCTTTCAGGCACTGTATTGTGATACAGGTACACAGTGATTTCTTTTTTATTTTTATTTTTTGGGTTAGAGTCTCACTCCGTTGCCCAGGCTGGAGTGCAGTGGCACACTCACAGCCACCGTAGCCTTGACCTGCTGGGCTCAGGTGATCCGTCTCAGCCATTCAAGTAGCTAGAACTACTGGTGTACACTACCATGCCTGGCTTATTTTTTTATTTATTGTAGAGATGAGGTCTCACCAAGTTGCCCAGGCTGGTTTCGAACCCCTGGACTCAGACGATCCTCTCGCCTTGGCCTCCCAAAGTGCTGGGATTGCAGGCTTGAGCATCCAGTCTATGATTTCTTTTATGGCAGGAAGTCAGTGGTTTCTGAGCTTGGTCTCGTTGCTGGACCAGATGAGAAAAGAGAGGGACCATCCCCCTCTTCCGTTTTTCACCATCCACTTGGCTGTGTGTAACTCAGCCACACATGCTGGGCCTTCTCTGATACACAGGTCTCTGAGCAAGCTTAGGGTCCTGCGAACTGAGGAGGAAGAATAGCCCATCATCTGAGGTCACTTGTGTCTGACGGAGCACTTCTAAGAAACATGCCAGCCATCTTCAAACAACTGATGACTGGAAAAATCCTCACTGAAGTTTCTTTTTCCAGAAACTAGTCTGTTGCTTTTCCAGTATAATATAGAATGGGGCTCTCAGTACGGTTGACTTTCCTGTGGCTCAAGTTGGTCATTTGTAGGTCTCTCGCCTTCTTGTCTTCTGTGCTGGCTCCTTAGGGAAACGTAAATATAAATGCAAGTTAGTGTGGCATGCCCCAAAGTTGGCTTTATGAGTCATGAGCATTAAAAATATGTACACTATAGAATGTTTATTGAACACCTGTTGTATTTTGGGCATTGTGCCAGGCATGGGGATAGAAAGATGGGTGAGAGGGGATCTTACCTTCAAGGAACTTTTAATCTAGTGGGAGAGCCAGTTTCAGCCAAGTGTTTACCTGCAGCGATAAAGCATGAACGTGAGGCTTCCTGGGGATTCTGGTGCAGTAAGTGTGTCCTGAGGATGACTTGACCGGGCAGAGAGACAGCAGGGCTTGGGCAGGGTGAGAAAGCACCACACAGGCAGAAAGGAGCCAGGCCTCACTGCAGAACTCGAATATGGCCACTAGGTTGGCACGTTAGAGATTACTGGAGAGGGAAGACCCATCTTGATATCGACCTGGACTGAAGGGGAAGAACTGGGTTACCAGTGTCTTCTATTCTCGGGATATTTGGTATGGCGGGTGACCCTCTGTGGAGACTCGTAGGGACAGAGCTCTGCGTTCCAGTGGCCTGGGAGCTCCTGGGTTAACAGCGGGGCCTCCTGGTGGCACCTCTGCTGCCAGGCATCACTCTGGTGTCATTTCTTTACCAACACCTGGCTTGTGTTTTGTTGTTTTTGCTTCTTTGAGACGGGTCTTACTATGTTACCCAAGCTATTTTAGCTCCTGGGCTCAAGTGATCCACCCACCTTGGCCTCCTAAGTAGCTAGGATTGCAGGTGCGTTCCACCATGCCCAACTTAGCCATCATGTGTTTTGTAGCCAGTATGTGCCAAGCTGGTGTGTATGTTATCTCCTTTAATCCAGTTACCTGTGAAAGTCGTTCATTTTAAATCCTCGTTTTAGAAGCTGAAAAAAGAAATGGAGGCTCGGACCAGTAAGTTTCACGCCAGAGGACTAAGCTGAGGTTTGTGGCTGCGCTGCTCTCAGCAGCTGAGCATGTGCTCACCAACTCTGGAGGATGCCCTTCTCGGGGCGAAAGGTTAAAGGTCATGCATGCACGTCAGGGTCCAAACAGTACTCTACTTTCAGGTGACCTATGTGGAAAAAGCTAAACTTTGTAGGAGGTTGAGTTGACAGGGAAAAAATTGTGTGCTGTTTTCATTGTTCAGTCTTGGCTGAAATCAGTGCTGGGATGATTGAAGCCATGGGTTTGTGGCCTTTGCCTTGTTGCTGTGTACAGTTAGGGCTGAGTTATTTTTAGTAGCAGAACACAGTTCAGAGAGGAATCCGGGGGGAATGACCAGGACTGGCAGTACAAGGAAAGTATTACATTTCCGTTGTACTTCATAAGAAAACACATGCCTGTTTAAAGCCCAGTGTCAGCCGGGCTCGGTGGCTCAGCCTGTCATCCCAGCACTTTGGAAGGCTGAGGTGAGCCCGTGGGTTCGAGACCCGCCCGGGCGACTTGACGAGACCTCATCTCTACAATAAATCAAAAAAATTAGCCGGGCGTGGTAGTGCGCACCTGTAGTTCCAGCTCCTCGGAAGGCTGAGGCGGAAGGATCGCCGGAGCCCAGCAGGTCGAGGCTGCAGTGGGCGGGAGCGGCCGCTGCACTCCAGTCTGGGCGACAGAGTGAGGCTCTGACTCAAACACAAAAGAAAGCCGGCGTCTGTTTACGTGAGGGTGATGTCGCACACGTACTCGCGTGTCGTCCGCGGTAGTACTTGCTGCCCCTGAGCGTCGGCTGCTTCTTGGGCGCTGCTCATCACTCTCCTCCGTGGTGTCCCCGTTTTGCAGGTGAAGAGAGTGAGTTTTAGTCCCTGGCACTAGTGTGGCCGAGACTTGCAAACAGCTGCCTGGGCCTGAGACCCGGGCTTTTTCTGCCATGCTTTCTGCCGTGCGCGTTTTTCTTCACTGCGATTTGCGTCCAGCTTCTGTCTTTTTGACAAGAGGGCCTTCTGTGGGCCTCCAGAAGTCAGGGGCTGCCCCTGGACGGCGAGGCAGTCACTTCATGCACTTCCTTAAAGGAATAAGGCAGGGGGTGTCGTGAGCACAAAGTCCCAGAATCGCAGCTTCCCACAAGAGACCCGGAAGATGCCCTCAGGGGCTTCTCCTGGAGCCTTCCCAGTGCCTGGCAGTTGGGCTCCCTCAGGGAAACCCCAGCGTGGAAGTCACTCGAGTTTCCTTCCAGGCTTCTCTCTCAGGTACCCCGTCAGGAGTGTCCCTCAAGCATGGGGCCCATGTGTATTTTCACTCTAGTCTTCCAGGGCAGGGGAGTCTCAAGTCTTAGGGTCTGTAGAGTCAGCTGAGTCTTCTGTGCCCCAGCTCGGAGTCAACAGCTCCGGGGTGGGCTTGAGAAGCTGCAGTTCTCGCAGGTTCCCAGGGCTGCTGCTGATGGGGTCCCCACTTGGAGGACCACTCTTCTCAGGTTTTTGCCAGAATCCTCCAGGCCTACCTGTGCATGTCCTCTACTCCCCTTGAAAACCATCCTCCAGACCACTCTGCTTTTGCTCTCCTTAACAAGGGGGGCTGGAGGAAGCCGCGGCAGCCAGCTGCCATCTATGAATTTATCGTCACGTGGCCCCTGAAATCAGACAAAGTGCCGATGGACCTTTGTCCTCGTGCTCTGGGGAGCTCACTCCTTGTTGTGTTGCAGGTGGTGAGAGCAGCCGAAGAGGCTGCGTCCACGCTGGCCAGCTCCATCCACCCGGAGCAGTGCATCAAGGTGCTCTGCCCCATCATCCAGACGGCCGACTACCCCATCAACCTCGCCGCCATCAAGATGCAGACCAAAGTCGTCGAGAGGATCGCCAAGGAGTCCCTGCTGCAGCTCCTCGCCGACATCATCCCGGGCTTGCTGCAGGTGGGTCCTGTGCTGCAGGGCTGCTCGCCTCGAGCCACCTGGGGCTTCCGGCGCCGGTGGGGTGGGGAGGACACACAGACAGGACGCTTCGTGGCCGCCTCTGTCAGCGTCTAGCCCACCCCCGCCTGGGTGTGACAAGACTGTCCCGGCAGCTCACGGAGTGAACCTTCTTTTTACTATAAACGTACTTTGATCTTTTGTTGTTCATTCTTTCAACGAGCCTTCGTTGCACACATCCCGCGGCCTCAGCCTTGGAGCCCGAGTCAAACAGTGGTCCTTGGTCTCCTGTGGGCGACAAGTGCTGAAGCTCTTCCAGACATGAGGCATTGAGGGAGACAGTCTCTGGCACAAAAAAGATGGGTTCTGCTGTGTCGCCCTACCTCAGGATGCGCAGCCTCCTCCGGGAGACAGTGCAGCCACGCGGTCGCCTCCAGATGCTGGCGCCGGGGCCAGCGTCACTGTAGAGGGGGGCTTTCCGGATTGGTGCAGGAGAGAGGGGGGGTCCTTAGCAGAGATGGCTTAGAAATGGGCCGTCTCTGGGGAAAGGTGGAGAGGAGTCAGCGTCACGTTTAACAAATGCTGCTGTTTGCAGACGCTTGGCTTAGGGATTTGAGCACGAGAGAGCTGGATTATTCCAGACAAAGGGAAAGGCACAAAGACTGAAAAGTCCCAAGGGCTGTTTGGGGACCAGCAGGAAGGCAGCCCCATGTGGGGGTAGCCAGGGGTGGGACCGAGAGGTTAATCCAGGTGCTCCTGCAGAGGGACGTGGACGTCAGGCAGTGGAACCAGATGTTGCCCAGCAGACACTGGAGGGCAGAGGCTTTTGCCCACAAGAGAGAGTGATGTTGCTCTCATTTTTTTTAGGGCACTTTCGCGCACGAAACTTGCTTTCCTTCTGGGAGAAGCAGGAGAGAAGCAAGTAGTTTCCTTTTCTCAGTCTGACTCTCTTAGGAGGGTTTTGGAGGCAGCTTGTTCCAGAGCGGCCCACGCGGGGGCAGGGCAGCCTGGGACTCACCAGCCTCCTGCTTCTACATCTCAAGAACCAAGTCACCCCTGGCACTGGGTTTTGACCTCTTGGGGGTCAAAGCTGTGCAGGTTCATTTGCAGGGCTGAGGGATATCCTGGTTGTACTGACAACTCCAAGGTTGAGCTGTGAGGTGCTTGTGGAAATGTTGACGAAACGCTGACTGTGGAACGAATCTTTGATCTGCTTTCCTTTCTGTCTTTCGGCTCTCCAGGGTTACGACAACACCGAAAGTAGCGTGCGCAAGGCCAGCGTGTTTTGCTTGGTGGCAGTGTATTCCGTAATCGGAGAAGATCTGAAACCTCACCTTGCACAGCTCACAGGGAGCAAGGTATGTATAGTGTTACCTGGGCTGATACGCACACCTGGGCTCTGCCAGCTTGTCACAAATCCATTTGACTGCAGCTCTGGACTCCAGACAGATTTCGCTCAGCATGTGTGTTTTAGCTGGGCTTTATTTCTCCAAAAGCATTTTTCTAAAGATAAAAATTACTGGTCAGGCATGGGGGGGGCTCAGCCTGTTATCCCAGCACTTTGGGAGGCCGAGGCGAGAGGATTGCCTGAGCTCAGGGGTTCAAGACCAACCTGGGCAACTTGGTGAGACCTCGTCTCTACA